GATTACAGTTTCTCATATTGCATATTTGGGTTTTCCTCGGGGATGTTTGGTGAAGCATTAAAATGCTGCTTAGAAACTGCCTTTGACATGAGGTGTCGAAGGGATCAGGTATCAGGCATCACAGAACAAAAAAAACCATCATTGAGAATGAGGGACATGGCGGAGTGGGGACCCAAAGCCCATCTGTAGACAACTGGGCATCCCCTTCCAGAAAGAAGCTGTCTTTGAGGAGGGAGAGGTTGCTACGGCGTGGACTTCAGTGCAGGAGGAGTAGGCACCGGGCAGCGGCTTTGTTGGGAAGCCCCCAAACTTCTATCTGGAGTACTCTTCTCTTGGATTGGTCGTTTTCTGCAGAAAGGTCTCTAGCCTCTGGCCCCGGGCTGTGAGCCTGGTTGCCAGTGTTCTAGGCACAAACCTGGCAGAGGCAGCTTAGTGGATCTCACCTTAGGAGGCATGGAGATTGTCATGTCGGCTCTGGTTCAGCGAGGAGCCTGTCTGGGAGTCCAGAGCTTTTCAAGTGCAGCCCCTTCTAGATCAACTCTGGGGTTCAGTTTCTTGAATAAAGCTTGCTACGTGCATGTCTGTGCAGAGCCAGGGAGGCGATCTGGGGTGCAATTGCTTCTCACACATTACCCACCAGGCTCTGTGCCCAGCTCCAGTCAATGGAGGTGCCCGTTCTTGGCGATCTCCCTTCACAGACAGTTAGCTCCCCCATCGGCTCAAAGCAGCTCCATTTGTCCATCTGTCTTCGAGCTTCCACAATGGTGAGAACTCTCTCTGCTGTCACTTCTTGTCCCATTCGCCTTGCGGTTTCTTCCGTTCCCATCTCTCTTGCCGTCATGCTGGCAGAGCTGGGGGTGTTGCTGGGTTGGGAGGAGGGCGGACAAAGGCATATATTCCACCTGTCACCTTCTACTAAGAGCTCTGGCTCTTTACACGACGTTGGTAAGTCAGGAGTATTAATAGAGTAGGGCAAACAGTAAGAATGGAGGGAAAACAAAAGACCGAAAGATCTTTGGTTTCACCTAGTCCTTAGCATACTTTATGGAGTGCTGGTGGCCCTGTTGGGTGGGTACGCATTGCTAACCATCCGGTGAGCAGTTCACGGGGAGGGTTAATGAAGCCATCGGTCCCCGTGAGGGTTTATAGATTCAGAAACCCTACACAGTGTTATGAGTCAGAATGGAATCGGTGGCAGTGGATTTTGGTTTCACCATTTTTCCTAGAAGGTTCAAATGCTGCCTCTCCCGCTAACGGATACTTAACCTTACATACGTTGGTCATGATCTCTGAACGGAGAGCTAGCACTGTGGAATCAATGTGTGGCCCCATCACTGGGTGATGAGAAAGGCTTGAGGCTCTGGAGAGAGAAGCAGCAGGGGCAGAGACCACACTTACCTTTCTTGGTCTTACAGGGTCCACGCTCAGGGTGGATTTCTTGCAAGGGACGAGACACCACCTTCCCTAGCCCGGCACTCAGCATGTACTGGTACAGGCGCTTAAACGTCCTCTCACACAGACCCTGCCAAAGAGAATGTCCACGGGACGGTGAGGCACAAGGAAGGTGCCGAGGCGTCTAAAGAGTCACAGAAACGCACAGAAGCTCAGGGCCTAATATAAAGGATCGCTTTAATTTTTAAAAATCCAGAAGGGGTTTCAAAAAGATTCTACCGGTGAATGCATTCAACCTAAAATGAACCCTTGAGTGCTTCTTAAGATAAACTGAATTCAAAAAAAAAGGATGAAAAGTGATTCGTCGTAATCTTGGTTGTACCAGCAAACCATCTAAAACAACCTGCGAGTCCACTGGAAGGGGAGTGGACTCACCGTGGACAAAAATGCAGCCGCAAACCAGGAGAAGCTGGAGTTACTACGCAGGAAGGCCA